ACAGAAACACACGTGCATGCAGGCACACGGAAATAGGCACTGAAGCACTTACACACATATACTTAAGACCTATACACACACACACGCACATACACCCCCTACCCCAGGGAAATGGATACTCTTGAGACATTTACACACACATGCTTGCACACACACATTGTCTCTCATATGCACACACCTGCACCTGCAAACACACGTGCTCTCTCTGACACACATGCACACACACACACGTGCACATTGTCTCTCATATTTATACACCTGCAACTGCAAACACGTATTTTCTTTCTCTCTCTGTCTCTGTCTCTGTCTCTCTCTGTCTCTGTCTCTCTCTCTCTCTCTCACACACACACACACACGTGTGTGTGCACACATTGTCTCATGCACACACCTGCACCTGCAAACACATGCTCTCTCTCTCTCTGACACACATGCATACAGGCACACACACGTGCACATTGTCTCTCATATTCATACACCTGCTACTGCAAACACATGCATTTTCTTTCTCTCTCTGTCTCTCTCTCTCACACACACACACACGTGCGTGTGCACACTTTGTCTCATATGCACACCTGCAAACATATGCACACGCTCTCTTTCTCTCACACACACACACGTGTGCGCATGCATATTGTCTCTCATAGTCCCACACCTGCAACTGCTAACATGCTTGCACACGCTGTCTCACTCTCTCTCTCTCTCTCTTTCTCACACACACACGTTCTCTCATTCTCCTTGCTTGCTCACTCTCATATTCACACACACCCACACACACCCACACACGTGTGTGTGTGTGTGCGCACGCAGCTGCAGAGCCGTGGGTTACTTTGTGAACCCCAGCCCCACTGACTGCTGACCCCTCTGGGTGGAAGCCCATCCGCTCCCAGCAGCCTCTGCAAGCCCTTGTCTCCTGCACCGAGCAGACAAGTGTTTCCGTTCCCATCGGGCCATCCCATCCTAGGGTTCCTCAAGCTCCCACTGCACTGGTTTAAAAAAAATCTGTGTGTTTCTTTTTCCTCCCTCCAGTCCTCTCAGCTCTTTCTAATCCCCTTGTGGCCACTTGTCCCAGAGCCTGGGAGCCACTGTACATTCCAGGAACCACCGGCACTGAAATATCCTTGCTTATCTGTTTATTTAGCTGGCAAAAAAATAAAGTCTCATTGCTGCGCTGCAGGGAGCAATAGGGGGAGCATAGGAAATAGCAGCCTTAGAGCGGGTCAGGATAGCAAAGATGGGCGGGGAGGGCAGCTGTGGCATGGGGAACGCTATTGCACTCAAGATCACCGTTAGAAATGAGCTGTGGGCAGGTGGAGAAGCCTATAGGGAAAATGTTTTGCTAGGGATGAAGCAGGGTCCTGTAGGAGTCTACTGGGGGGCTCTCAAAAGGAGTCGAGACTTGAAGGGCTAGCGAGGGCTTCTGGAGCCTTCCTTTCACACCCTGCAGCAATTCTCCCTTCAGCTTCCCCAGCAAGTCCACCCCATACTGGGGAAGTGATCACAGCCATCCAGTGCTCCAGGACCCTCCAATAGAGACACGGGTGGCAGTCCCTGAAAGATGACGACCTCAACTAGACTGTGGTGCCAGGTGCTGTAGTAAGAGAAAGCGCGTCCTTGCTCCGCAGAGCTTGCAACCCAAAGAAGACAGAAAAAGCGTGGGAGAAAAGTTGTACCATTACCTCCATGTAGGGGACTGAGGGTAAGGAGCCTGATGTGTCAGAAGTGACTCAAAAAGGCAGTGGGAGAGCTGGGAATTTGCAGGGAATGGCCTGAATGCCATGCTGACCTGCCTGGCATCTGCGTGGGGTTTGCCTCCAGTCACTGCATTCAGAGGTGCATTGCAATAGTGGGCCGTATTAGAGCAGCTTTGGGAGACAGCCCTAACTCGGTCCCAGTGTGCTAGGGGCTGTACAAACGTAGAATAATGACAACCCCTGACCGAGGCGCTTGCCATGAGGGTTAGCCAAACAGTACAGTACAACCCTCTCAAAGGGGAAGACCCTGATCCCTCCCCTGACCCTTTTGGGCCAGGTGAAAGCACAACAAAGGTGCAAAAGGGAGCTTCTTACCTGGTTTCCAGCCAGGGCAGGAGTCACCTGTGGCAGGAGCTGTAGAAGACAGCTGTAAAGCTGCTCTCCAAGGACTCCCATCCAAGGGTTGTCTTTAGACAAGCCACTTGGTCTACTGAAGCTACTCTGGGGCTGCTCTGGCCTGTGATTGGGATGGCATAAAGCCATCTTCATAGATGCAGAGGTGGGAAGGGACCTCAACACATTACCGAGTCCAACCCCCTGCTTAGGCAGGAAAGAGCGCTGGGGTCAGAGGACCCCAACCAAATGCCTATCCAGCCTTCTCTTAAAGACCCCCAAGGTAGGGGAGAGCACCACCTCCCTTGGAAGCCCATTCCAAATTTGGGCCATCCTTACCGTGAAATTTTTTCTGATATCTAGTCTAAATCTGCTCTCTGTCAGTTTGTGACCATTGCTCCTTCATCCCAAGGAGCCTTGGCAGTGAGTTCAGTGCAGCACAGATGGTCATCCAGCATACTTTGCAAGCCCTGGGAAAGAGATGGGTGTTACAGGTTGGCTTTACAGACGGGCCGTGGTGGTGTCATCCCTGTGATGGCCCAGGGAACAGGAGAGTAGCAGGGTTTGTTGGATAATCTCTTATCGGACCAACTGGCAGGGATGTCCAACAAGCTTTAAGGCACAAAGCGCCCTCCCTCAGCTTGGGAAAAGATGCAGAGACGGCTAAACGCCAGGTAGTTACAGATGGGGAAACCAAGCAGGGTCATGCTTTGCTTACGGTCACAGAGAAGGTTTGAAGCAGAGATGGACATAGACCCCCCCGCGCAATTTCTGCTCCATCCCAGCCACTCTGCCACGGCTCTTCCACCACTGCTGCCTCCCCACTGAGGGCATGGGCTCATTGTCAGGAGGTGGGAGCTGAGCTGGAGCGGCTGGCCTGGGTCTGTGGCATCCCAGAGGGAATTTCTGACGGTGCTTATCCTGTGCCGCATGCTTTGTTTGGTGTTTTCTGGGTGGTGTTATCAAGAAGCCCATTTCCTGATCGCAGAAAAGAATGGACAGTCTAGGGGAGGAACTCATTCCAGTGGCCCACCCCACGCTATCGCACAAAGGCCTGCCTTATCACTGCTGAAAACTCAGGAACAGGGGGACAATCTAGCTTGCAGAAGGGCTCAGAAGGGAAACAAAACTCACCAGCTGTAATGGGGAGGCAGCATGTGATTGTTCATCAGTCCAAACTTTGCTTGCACAGTAAGTGCTGGGGGGATGCTCTGTGGATTCGAGGCCATCATCTGTTTTCTGCATAGGATGTGCCTTTTGAGCATGATTCACTGCTTGATCTGCACCCCCTCCTTGAGACGGGTCATGGGATTACTGTTAATATGGCAGTTATTGTGTTTAATTATAGCACTCATGAGGGTCTGAGCTCTAAGTAGTGAATAGTTTGATGTGGTTTTTTCTCAACACCAGCGTAATGGTGTTTGGCAGCACAAACAGGTTCACTGGCTGGGGCTGGAGGATCTCCGGTTGCTTTGTTAGCTAGCATTGTCAGCTGTGGTGATGAGGAAGCCGAGGTGCAGTAGTGGGGGGAGGTTGGCCTTGACCTTTCTCCAAGTGCTTGGAAGAAGGTAGACCTCCCCCACCTCATCTTGGCTGGACTCCCTTTGGGAATCTGACCTCAGAAGGCTCTGCTGTGGCTGTCACCTCACAGGTATTTCCATGTGATCTTGTGTCACGTGGCAACAGAAACCAGTAAAAGTCAGGTGTGGAGGAGTGGGGTTCAGCTGTCTCACCAGTGGAGAGCCACCAATGGAGAACGGAGGTGACTTATAGTCAAATATGCCTTCCTTGGTGGCCAGCAGCGTGGCATAGCCTGGTTTCCAGCTGCAACCTTCCCTGCAATCCTTCCACGTAGAGCGCTTGTGGCCATAAGGCACTCTTGCCCCAGCAACGCAGTGCATCAGACTGTTGTGGGCCCTGCTCTGACTTCCATACACACATGCCAGGTCCTAACTGATATTACTTGGAGAGCCTTTAGAGGCCTACACACCACCTGAGTCCAGTTTGAAGCCTTAGAGGTTGACTAGGAGTTGCCCCTCAAATAAGGCTGCTGAGCACTTTTCTGACGACCAATGTCAGACCAGCCATCAGCAGCTTCTGCTCAGAGGAGGGCAGCAACTGGCCCGTGGACACTTGGCTTGGATGTTGTCCAGAGCCCTGCAAGGCCAGGCTCTTGTCATAGCATTTACATGGTGGTAGAGGTAGGGGGAAGTCCTTTGAGATCATTGCCAGGCCAGGCCAAAGGCAGGGCTGGAGATCTCATCCCCAAACAGGGGGCATTGGCATGCCCTCCCATGCCTCAAAGGGTACTGGCCAGCTCCCAAAGCCAAGCGAGGGGCTTACTGGACTGCTTCCCTGGACTTCAAAGGGTGAGCATGGGCACCTGGGGCTGGGATTCATAACAGTCATCAGGTGAGTGGTGTTTACACCAGAAAATAGGAAATATGGAGGGGGGCACGTGTCTGGAAGCCCACCAATCCTTCAGACGTGGGCACCAACTCAGGCCTGTGGGCAGGTGATGGTGGAATGAGAATTCACCACTTGAAACTGAGCTTGCAAAAGGAGCTCCTCTTTTTGTCTTGTTTCCTAGGGACTACGGCACAGGCTCAAGAAGCCAGCTGCTTTTCACCCAAAGGGGTTTGCACCTGTCCGGCCTGCTTCCTAGCACAGTGCCCTAAGCGGCAGGCTACAGGCAAGGCAAGGAAGATGGTTAAAGCTCGACTCCTGACCAGCTCTAAATGCAAGAGCCCTGAGGCCAGCAGGAGCTGTCACGTGAAGTGCCTCTGTAGCATAATGATTAGGGCATGGGAGGGAGACCTGGATCTGGTCCCTGCCTCCTGGGACCTCCTCACTGGCTAAGAGCAGAGCCAGCCCTCCAGCTGGGCCTCAAACCAACCTGTCTGCTCTCTCCAACAGGCTACAGAGCCAGGCTCCCTCTCAGCAGAAGAGTCTGGGCCTTGGAGCCCAAGTGAGCAGAGGCAAGATCAGATGTCAACCCTCATATTCAGCCTTCTCTACTGGCAAGCTCCAGGCTGTGCCCCCTGCAGCATGCTGCAGCAGGGACCTGGGGTCAGGTTTGCACATGCAGGGGACCTGGCTCTGAAAGACCAGCACAGGCCAGACCTATTGTGTGCATCTCCGCTGGATTGACCTGGTGAGTCAGTGGGTTCTTCTCCCACCCCTCCATTCCTCTGTTTCCCTATTGCCCTTGGTCTCTTAGATCCCTGTGGGGATTGCTGCTCATCTTACCCCTACCTGCAGCTGCTATATGACTTGAAACACAGTGCTGCCCACCCCTGCCTGCTTCCATGGATGCCCAGCAGCAATCCTGCACAGAAGGGCTTAGTGCCCTTGGCCTGCCTCTCTACCATCCCCTTCTCTGGGAAGCCTCCCTGCTGACTCAGACCCACACCATGCTTCGCTGGCAGATTCTCCCCCACCCCCCGCAACCTGGCCCGTGTGAAGGGGAATAGTGAGTGATTCCTTTCCGATCACCAGCCTTATCATCTGAAAACTTTTATTTGCACAAGAGCCGCCCGCCCTCCTTCTAGGAAAACACACACACACATGACCCCAGCCTCAAAGGGCCAGAGCCCTCATTGCCTCCTTGGCTCCCGACCCAACCCCTGGAAATGGTCCGCTGTGCGAATTAACTCCTGTGTGTTGTTCTTGGAGTGCAATGAAGGCTGCTTCCTCCAGCTGTGCAAGCCCCTGGCCATGCCTGGGGCAGCACAGGGCAGCCTTGTCATAACAGGCAAACAATAGCGCTGCCGAGGCCGTTATTATTGCAGCCGCGGCCCAGGGAGCGCGGAGGTCAGGACAGGGACGTCTGCAGGTTCCAAGCAAGGGGCTCTTTGCTGTCTTGTTTTCCACCTTGCTGGCTGGCGGGCTGGGGAAGTTCCAGGAGCAAAAACACCGAGCAACCCAAATAACAAAGCGCAGACTAAGCAGCGGGGCTGCCAAGGGCCCCGGCGGGCGGAGGGGCCTGCATTGTTACCTTTCACTCTAGCATTTCCTCTCCTGTCAGCACGACCAGACTCCTCTCGTGACACTGCCGAGGTGGTTTAAGAAAGCACCTAGTGAGGACTGGTGCCCTGCTGAGGCTGCAGGGTGTGGGTCCAATCCCATCTACCCTCCACTGGTGCCCAGGGGCTTTGCCCTGCTACAGCAGCTGGCAGCGGGGATGCTCCAGGCCAGGCTCTGTACAACCACAGGGAGGGGTCGTTACCCCAGAGAAGGGGCAGCCTGGAGGGATCAGAGAGGAAGGCATGGACTCTTCTGCCATTCCACGCTTGGGGAACGGGGGCACAGGGGGGTTCAACACCTGCCCCAGCAGCCCCCAGGGAGTCTGCTGCAGAGCTGGGACCTGACGGCTGCTCTCTGGAGTCTCAGCTCTGCACAGGAACCGTGAGACCAGCTGCCCTTTTGTGGGGAAGGCAGAAACACCAAAACCACCAAACCTGATGTAGCCTCCCTCTGCCAATGCCTGGTGCTCCCACAGCCTCCCCTCCAGCACTCGGAGCTATAGGAAGACAACCGCATCAGAAGACAGCAATAAGGACAGCAGCAGTGACCGCAGCAGCAAGTCCTCCGGCAAAAGCAACCACGAATGAACTGAGTTTTAAACTCCATATTCGGGGATCAGACTAAACGACAGGGGGCTGGAGGAAGACGAAATCGTGCGGATGGGTGTGTGGCAGTGCTGTTCTGCGGGTGTGTATATTGTGACGGGTGCGAGGGTGTTCCTCTGGTCAGTTAAGTAGGTAATGAATTGTGACCCAGAAGGTATGTGTGTGTATATATATATATATATATATATAGATAGATAGATAGATATAGATATATTAAAAAAACCCCAACAACTTGGGTCTATGGGAACTGAAGCACAGAGGTGCCCTGTCCTGACGACATCAGAAAGCATTAGTTTTTCACCTCACACAAGAGATGCCTGCCTCTTTCTGGGCACCATGGTGGGCAGAGGTTCCCAGGGCAAGGCCTAGCCAGGGGCTCACACCAGCTCTGCACAGCACTCTGCTATGGCCGAGGGGGCACAGGGCTGTGAGGATGAAAGGGAGGCAGCAGTAGGGTCACGGCAGGTGGCCCTTTGAAAAAACAGCCTCTTCTCTTTCACCTGTAAAAAAAGAAAAGGGCTTTCTGCTACTACCCCAGCCCTGAAATGCCAGCATGGCTGTGCGGGGAGGGGGAGTGCAGATCACAGCTGCTCATCCCACATTGGCAGAACGATTTAATAAAGAGCCAGCCCGATTTCTCATGCCAGCCCACTGCTTTCCATGCTGCTCAGGGTATTCCTGGCCTGCAGAGCCCCCCCACACTTGTGCTGCTGTACAAGAGGGTGGCCAATACCCAACTCCTGGGACAGAAGGACTGATGGGAGGGGGACTGGGAAATGCATCAGAATTTGAAGGGTTAAACCCAAAAGCTCTCTGCATGTTCCTCCCTCCATCTCTTTCCTTCCACAGCTGATTGCAGCGATACTGGGCCCATTCACGCAGCTGGGAGGGGGCACGTTTTTGTCTACTCCAAGAGTTATTTTTAAGAATGCAGCAGCGTTAGGGAAGGGAACGTGCTTTGCTGGAGTATTTTAAGCTTTCTGGTTATAGGAACAGTAAACAATATAGGAGTTTCAGCTTATCAGGAGCTCATTTCCACCTATTATGTAGCAGCAACTAGGTCTATGGCCTGCATGGTCCTTTATCACTGTCTCCAAGCCCCTATTCCCTATGTGAGAGGCAGGCAGTTTATTAGGAAGATGTAAGACTGGTCTGCATGCAGAGGGAAGCCAACAGCTGGACAGTCCCAGCACCCTTTTCCTAGAGAAATTTTGCTCTATTTCTAAGACCCCATGTCTGCTCCAAATAGTACAATATCAGGCTCAGTCATTACTGTGCGAGGATGGAGGCTGTGCAACTCAGGGCTTTATAATGAGACTGCCCTGATGAATAAGGGCTGCAGAGAGATTGCTCAAGCATGCTACCATGGCTCCAGAGCACCAAAGGAGTTTATTTCTGGGTGGCCTATGCACTGGGCAAGTCAAACAAGAAAGAAAAGCCCAAAAGGTGAAGATCATATCATGAATGACATCAGCAACCAGTAAGGCACTATTAGATCATTAATGCTCTGACTGTAACTCAGGGCACTCAATGGGATTAGGTCAGACTTCCTTCCCTTCTGCCCCGAGCGGGTGGAAAAGACCCCAGTACAGCCACGTAACTCAGTCATGCAAGTGGGATGTGCATGAGCCAGCGAGGCTGCCGCGCTACATTGGAACAGATCACCAAGAGCAGCAGTTCCTAATCTTGGGGTTGTGACCCCATTGGGGGTTGCAACCATAGGCACAGACTTATTTTTGCACTGGGGAGCAGGGGGCAGTGCCAAGACAACGGACACATGCAAAATTTTATGCATTTCAGGTGACAGCCCGCTTCTCAAGGGGAGCCAGGGCCCGCAGACCCCTGCGCACTCAGCTCCTCTACTTCAAACGATAAAAAATGGGGTCCTAAAAGACACTTGACAGTGTCAACCAATTATGATGAACATACTTCCTGTTTTTAGATATGCAACTCTTGTACACGGCAGTCATTCATCCACGCATGACAGTCGCGGCTCCAACGCGAGGCACTTGTACGTTACAGGAAGCGGATGTAAAGATCACTATGTTGATACTGGCTGGCTGGCATACATTTTACATGATAGAGACATCCAATATGGATGTTTTTCTCTAAAAATATAAAAAAAAATAAATAAAAATTCTGCCTCAAGCTCTAGCAGTAAAGCTAATGACAAGGATGAGAACAAGAAACCAAAGGAACGCGAAACATGAAAGTACGAATTTGATGCATCCTTCCTCATTGATCTTGTCTACAGCATCTTGGGATGCAAAAAACTTCCAGTATTTAAATAAGGTCACGCTGAGGAAAAGGTTGGAAAGCCCTGACCTAGAGAGAGGTGAGGATGCATCTTAGGAGTTTAAGTGGAGATTATAACAAACACCCATCTCAGATTTGTGAAAGCAGAAACCATCCTGTCTGGAGCAAGGCAGGGGTGGGGGGGACCCCAAACACTTAGACTACAGGTCCTCTTGAATCCTTCCCATAACAAACACCCATCTCAGATTTGTGAAAGCAGAAACCATCCTGTCTGGAGCAAGGCAGGGGTGGGGGGATCCCAAACACTTAGACTACAGGTCCTCTTGCATCCTTCCCAGGCCAATTTTTATAGGAGCATTTGATTTTAAAACCACACTGGTTCTAGGTTAACTTGCCTAGAGTAAAACCCTTTAAACCTTCTTGCCAAGGGCTGCTGGCTCTCAGAACCACCCCACTAGCCACAAATTGGGACTTGGGGCAGAGGACAAGGAAACACTCTGCAAAGCACAAGGTATTTGGGTCACTGTTTTATTTGACGAGATGTAAGTTTGAAGTCTGCCAAGAGAAATACAAAGGAAACAAAAATCCTGGAGAGCAACTCTGATCTGCCACCCGCTCACAGCAGAGTCCATGTACTTTGGTTATGCTGGGACAGATGTCTGCAGTGCTTTGGTTGGTCTCCAGAATGAACAAAAAACAAAGAAAACCCCCCAAAACAGTGACATGAACAAACAGAAAGAAGGACGTTGGGTCACATCCTTGTTGTTTCACAGCTTTGGGATTCCAGGGATGGCTTACTGTAGCCTGAGCTTTTTAAGAACAGCAACAATAGGCTTGTTCTTCCTCACGCCCCATGGTGACATTTTGCTACAGCAGGAGAGGACCTGTGTGGAAGAGGAGACATCCAACTCCTCCTTTCCCTGCTTCCAGAGGGTGAAATGACTTTGATGCTCTTGCAGTGCAGACCTCTCAGCTGTGAACACCCGTGCCCTGCTGCTCCACCCTATCCCACAAAGCCCCCACTCACGGAAAGGAGAGCTACCAGTCCTGGACTCACATAATCCCCATCTTGAATGACAGAGTCCAAGGAACAAGGGCGGTAGGGAAGGAGTTCCTTTGGCCACATCAACATCTGGACATCCAAAAGGACCATCTTGACTCAATTCTAGCATTTATTTTTCCCCCAGCTTTGGATGCAGCCAAGTTCTTGCAGTATCACAAGAGCCCACACTCCAGAACGTGGGCCTTTCAGTTCTGGATGTGCAGCAAGTCTGCTAGAAGAGTTGGACATGGATAGGGTGGTTCATATTAGCCAGACAGCTGTAGATCCAGTGGCAGAGACTATCATTTTTTTTTTTCTACACTCAGACTCAGACCAACAACAACAACAAAAATTAGACAAATCTTAGACGTGAGGAAGAACCCAGGGTAAAGCAGCAAGGCTACTACTGCTGATGTGTACAGGAGAAATGCATACATAGATACATGAACAGCACATTGCTCTACACACAAATGGTGAACAGTGCATATAGCTCAGCTCTGCCACCAGGCAGCTCAAGGGAGCCTGGGTTTTAAGACAGGTAGTATCCTCCATTACAGCAGTTTTTGACCCAAAGCCATCCCCCTGGGAGCTACTCCGATCTCAAGGGGGGGGCACAGTGTAGCAAGGCACTTAACGGCTTAAATAAGCAACTGAAGTCAGGCAGCAGCACATAGCGAGTAGCCAGTGCTAGGTTTCTTTTAGGTATTTTTCCCTGAAGAGCATTTGGGCAAGTGGCTCTGAAGCCGAGCTGGCTTCAGCTCAGGACCACCTTCAATGAAGAGCCTATATGGAAGTGTTGCTTAAGGGGATTGCTAGGCTGAAGCCAGCACCTGGCAATACCTTGGAGGCAGGCAGATTCCAACAGCATTAGAAGGGGGTTTCTTTCCCTGCGCTGGTCCAGATTCACTCTGGTCGATGAAGGTGGTGGAGCGCTTTCATCTGAAGGCTATAACAGCAAAGACCTGAGCTGGAAGCCACTGACTTGCCGTAACCCTTGGTCAGGGAAGGGCTATTTGCCCTCTGCTCTTCTCCCTGATAGTTGCGTTATGGATATCAATCCAATCAGCTTCCCCTGAGAATCCAGTGGCAGTTCTATCCCATGGCAGAACAACTTAGTTTTCCATGCAAACCACCCAAGATCCCAGCCGAGAAGGGATTTTGTTTGGTTTCCATGTTTATACAGTGTTAAAAAAAAAATAATAATAGAAGTCACAAACTGCCCTCCAGGGACAGCAGCTGCAAAAGAAAGAAGTCAAAGTGTAGCTTGTTTGAAGCAATAGTTAACTCAAGGTCTTTTGTCCAGAGGACAGTCCTCTTCCTGACAGTCTCGTGTAGGTTTCAGCCGGATGAGCCAAAAGGTTACCGCACTGGGACCTGTGGCCAGTTGGCTACCACATGCCATTGACCCCCCCATGCTTGCTGTGGGCTCACAGGAGTCCATGGAACAACATCTGCAGCACCCTTACTTTAAGCACAGACCCATGAGGAAGTCAGGTTTCTGCCCATCAACCAAAATGAGAAACCTCTCCAAGAAAGAGGACACAACCAGAAAGTCTGTGAGCCACGACAGCCTCCAACGGGGCAGCCCAGAAGACAAGAGCCGGATTGCAGATGCTCAGACGTACTGTTTTTTAGAAGCGGAGCTACTGGGACGACTGGTCTGCTTCTCCAGGGACTGGGCATTAGCAGCACAGGCGTTGGGCAAAGGTTTGCTACCATTGCACAGGGCCAGGTTCTCCTCGGTGTTGAAGTTGGTCCAGTTCTGCTCACTGGACAGCTTATTGTAAGACTGGTAGGGAGGAGCACGAGCCTCGCTCATGGGCAGGTAGTGGTACTGCTTGGGCTGGTACGGACCACCAGGCACCTCACACAGCTTTTCATCCGGGAAGGAGTCCTCACCCAGGCCGGCAGGGGATCTGGATGAGATCTTCTTTAAGCCGTTGAGCATATTCTTGCAGCAGAGATGGACGAGCTCCATGAGGTTGAGACCGAGAGAGATGAGACCCACCACCAGCATGAAGATAATGAAGATGGTCTTCTCAGTAGGCCGGGAGACAAAGCAGTCCACCCTGTGAGGGCAGGGGACTCTCTCGCACACAAAAACAGCTGGCATGGAGAAACCATACAGGTACCACTGACCCAAGAGGAAGCCAGCCTCAAAGATACTCTTGCAAATCACGGTGGTGATATAGGAACACATGAGGGGCCCCTGGATCTTGATGTGTCCATCCTCCGCGACAGAGATCTTGGACATCTTTTTCTCTACCACTGCCAGAGCCTGCTCAACCTTCGGGTCCTTCATCGGCATAGCTCGCAGCTCACTCTCTCTCTGCTTCAGCTTCTCATCCAGGCGGGAGAGGTAGATGACATGGCCCAGGTAGATTAGGGTGGGGGTGCTGACAAAGAGGAACTGGAGCACCCAGTAGCGGATGTGGGAGATGGGGAAGGCTTTGTCATAGCAGACGTTGGTGCAGCCTGGCTGCTTGGTGTTGCACAAGAAGTCCGACTGCTCGTCTCCCCACACCGACTCCCCCGCCAGGCCCAGGATGAGGATCCGGAAGATGAATAGCACTGTCAGCCAGATCTTCCCAATCACTGTCGAGTGCTCTTGGACCTGGTCCAGAAGTTTCTCCAGGAAGCCCCAGTCTCCCATCTCTTAGGGGGTCTCGAGGGTCTGGCAGCAGAGAGACAACAAGAATCACATCAGCATGGCTCCTGGGAAACAGAGACATGGGGTCTTCTCCCACTCATCACCAGTCCACTCCCTGGGGCCAGCATCCCTGTGACCAAATGGGTGACACACCCTAGACAGGCCACCCTAGCAAGGCATAGGGGCTTTGCCAGCCCAGCATGGAGGCTTGGTATTCAAGAGCAGCCTCACTTTGTGGTCCAAGCTTTCTAGCATCAGGGAAACTTAGTCTCTCAGCTTACACTGGGAGTCTACATTACTGCAGGAAATGGGGGTGGGGTGGGGGAAAAACACAAGGGGTGTTCCATGGAGCACAGGATATATTGGTCCCAGTTGAAGCCAGTACAGACTTCATGAGGAGCTGGTTGGACTGTTTTAGCCACCTTAGTGGCATGGAAAGGGAGTGCATCTTTGCTAGGTGCCCTGGGGGTTCATGGCCAAAACCTCTAAAGCAGCAGTTTTTAAACTTTTCTGTACCAGGACCCATTTGTAAACATTGATGGCCAGTCTCGACCCACTGCCCTTCACTCCCAACCTGCTGCCCCCCACCCTCAGGTCCCAACCTCCGCGTGGGGCAGGGGCTGGGTGTGTGTGGGGCATGGGCCCCCCCCAAGCAGCTCCTTGCAAGCTGAAACTTGGACAGCCTGCAAGGGAAAAGAAACTGTTTCCTACATTGGTCTCTTTTAAAGGAGAATGCGTTTTTAAAAATTCATTCAAGACCCTTTCATATATTCTTGCGACCCACAGGTTGAGAAAAACTGCTCCCAAGTACTGTTTCTGCTCAAACCCAGCTGCTACAGCAAGGTGTTAGCCAGGCTCCCCAGCTCCCCGTTCAGTAGGAGCTAGGACACCCTCCCCAAAGAGCCTTCTTTCCAAATAAGATCAGGCAGCAAAGCATGGAGGGGGAGCAAAGAGTCCCTTATGCTGCCAGAGTCCATTCCAAGAGACATTGCCGGGTGACACTCAGCCTAGCAAGAGCAGCAGTTTCCTCCTGTCCATCAGGGAGCAAGGCAGGACAGCTCATTGCTTTTGGTTAAGGAAGCAGAGTGCAGGGCAGCCTTCAGGCTTCTCACAAGGAGCCAGCACGGCCCCTTAGTGCTGCCCAGCATGGAGACAGCCCAAACCCTGCAGTTCTCACCCACTCTTCACAACAGCTCTGGGGAGAGGGGCAGAGCAGAGAAGCCACCAAAGCAAGTCAGGGACTCTGGTCACCCTGGCAGAGCTGAATTCGTGCAGCAGGGGACACCCCCAAAACTATTCCCAGGGTCAAGGACTCCCATCAGGGCCATGTCTCCAGAGCAACGGCAGCCACCACCACCTGGAGCAGGGTCAGGAACAAGCCAGCCCCTCCCCAGCTCCTACAACTTATCCTGCTACCGGGACACCCCAGCCTGGCAGCTGGGCTAACACCCAAGTCAGGCTTCCCTGGCTAGCAAGATGCAAGCAGTGTAGATGCAGCAAGTGTCTGTTGGGGTGGGAGCCCTCATCCCTGGGGCCACATTCTTCCTCATGGGGCAAGGGCAAGACCCCTACCCCAGTTCCCCCTTACCACCACCAAGCAGAAGCTGTAGGCACAACTCCCTCACTTCCCACAGGAGGGGAACAGAGGATAGCTACTCAGCTCCCAGGTCAGCCTGGGCACCCCCATTGCTTCTAGAGAGGAGGCACTGCATCCCCAGTGCAGCAGCAGCTGGCTGAGGACAGCCCCAAGCCCCCCACTCACCTCCCAAGAGCACACGCAGTCCCAGCTACAAGGCTCTCCTACTCCCAGCTGCCAGTCAATCCCCAGACCCAGGAAGGGAAGCAGGCAGGAAGCTCCTTTGTAATTATCCCCCCATCAATTAACCAATTAAGGACTCCACTGGCTTTTTAAAAGTGAAATCAAAGGACAGGAGAAGTGGGGTCTGGATCTGAAGTCAAAGGGAGATAGCAGATGGGGGTGAAGTGAGGCTGGAAGGTGCATGCCATGAAGCAGGAAGCCAAGCCCTTTTGCATTTCCTTTCCCTGTAGCATCCCACAGCCCCTTTCATGACTCTTGCTTCCCCCCTAGCTGCTCAGGGGGGCACAAAGCCTGCAGTTCCCATGTCACTGGCTTGCTTGGAAAACAGACCCAGCAGCTGGCATTTACTCACCTGCACCAGGCACAGCTGTGTAGCCCAAGTCCCTGCTGACCTGCTCCTGGGAGCGGAGCACCCTGCCTGCCCCACCTGGAGACACCTGTGGCTGCAAGCGAGGGAAGCCGGTGCTGCCCACCCGAATCCCTGGGACGCTTCTAGGGAAAACTTGGCCATGGAGAGTCACTTCCCAGGAGGGGAGGAGCTGTAGGAAGCAGGGGTGGGAAGAGGGGCTGGTAAAGCAAAGAGTCCAGCTGCAGAGCCTGGCTTTAAAGGGCCAGCTGTTGGGACAGGTGTGTTGTGGGGAAGCAGTGACTTCATTGTTTTCCTGCCTGCTGGTGCAATATGAAGTCACTGGAATAGGGGGAAAGAGCATTATTTAGGGGCAGGGGGTACAATGGCCTTGCTGGGCTCACCTCGCTCTTAAAGGGACTCGCAGACAGAGCCAGGGCCTCGTGGAAATAGGAAATGGAGGAAAACAAGCCAGACGAGACTGAAATAATAATCCTCAGTCTGGGTCAGGAGGCCTTCAGAGCCAAAACCAACACGGGCAGGGCCGTGGGGAACATCCCATGCCAGGGCAATGCATGGAAACAATGAGGGGCTGAGAAGCTGGCAGCAGCGAGGCTTGCAGGGGGTCACTGTGCCCTGGGGTAGGCTGGTCAGTACTTCTGTCTTCCCCTGAAGCTGGCCACTGTGCTATCCTGGATGCTGGCCTGGTTATTATTTCCTGGGAGTTGCAGAAGTCCAGTGAACTCCCTTGGTTAACCTTGGCTGTGAGCCTCGGGGCAGGTACGTCTCCACTTGCCTGGCTCCTTTTCCCCCTAGGTAAGGCTGAATCCTTCAAAACAGGTGGGTGCTTAATTCTCACTGGAATCCAGTGATGGGAAATCAAATGGGAGGGAGGTGTCTGCAGACTCTGGAGGACCTTTGAGCTCTTATGGGGCTTGGTGTTAGTGCGTGGCTTGGCCTGTGGGTCTGTCTTAGCAGGCAGCTCCACACCTGGATCTGAGACCCAGCATGGGTTAGGAAGCTCCCAGCTGGGCCCCGGGGTCGCTGCAAGGGGCCTGGCCACCCAACTCCAATGTGGCATCTGAGTGAGCACAGTGCGGAGCCACCCCAATAGGGGAGATGTGGGGTGGCGGGGGCTGAGTCCCAAGGGCAAATAGCTCTGGGGGTGGGAGACTAGTCAGCTGGCTGAAGTAGAAGGCAGTGGGTTGTTGGATGTGTAGCAAAGGAGCAGGGAGGAGGTTGCTGGTGGTGAGGGACCTGGTGGACCAGGCAATGAGAGGGCTGAGGGTGGGGTCTGAGGGGGGCACCTGGCTGGGTTTAAAGGCGCTGAGCCTTGTCCCCACTTGGTGCTTGAATGTTGTCCGCAAGGTTAATTCAACCCTGTTTAAAATGCCCCCAGGTCTATTTCTAGCACAGGCCAGGCTGTTCTTTGCTGTGCGCAGACTCTCCCTTTGACATGCACAGTGCTTTGCCCAGCAGCCGATGCCCAGCGCCGGACAGGGGGGAGCGGAGCCCATAGTCTCTCCCTCTTCTGCTGTACAAACCCCTGCAGCCCAGGGACGGAGGCAGCTATAACCCTGCAGCTCTCCCCCTTTCTGCATGGCCTGCTGTTTGCCAGCTGTTGGAGAGCAATGCCACCCCTCGGACACGGCGGGAATGGCAGGGCAGAGGAGTCTGTCCTGCAGGCCCTGAGGGAAGCTGTGGTTCCCCTGAAGGGGAAGGCAAAGCTCTCTCCAGCCCAGCACTGCGTGTCCCCTGCCTGGAGCCGTACTGGGGAGTGTGGCTTCCTCCTCCGTTTTCTGCACAGCCTGGCAATGAAGGCCGACATCCACAGACCTTTCTACTGGGCTTTAGAAGATGAAAAGGATTCCCCCTACCAACATCCAGCATCCCTTCCCCTCTCTGCCCTCTCTGCAATGGAGGGGATGTACTAGGCCACTGTTCTCCTCCCCGGGTGCCTGAGTTTGGGCTTCCGACTTACTATTCAGGCTATTGAGGGCTTGTCTGTGCAGGGAAGTTGTGTTTGCTAGTGCATGTTAACTCCGCGTGTGGCCCCAGTGAGCGCCATCACTCCTCTTTGCAAGGGGAGTAGCTGCAGTGCACTCTGTGCATGCACCAGCAGGTCAGCGCAAAGCAGCCAGTGCACATCGCCTCTCGCACTGCTTCCCGAGCTGTGACTTCCCCGGCCAGCCAAGCCCGCAGAAAAGCAATTCTGTTTTCCTATGCAGTGGCATTGGCGAGCTCTGGGCCTTGCTGCTCTTTGGCCTCCGGGGTGGAAGCAGGCATCCAGGTCCCTGTTTCCCTGCAGCACTTGGGGAACTCCTGCTTGGGCTGGTGGGTTGGGTTTAGGGAGGGAAGGCGGGGAATTATTAGCCCTGTCTCCGTCTGCTGGACGTGGATGACCTCAGAAGTGGACACAACGTGGGGGAACCTGTTTTATTTCATGACGTCTATCAAGGGTGCTCCCAATCATTATCCCGTGAGGTTGTCCGGGGGGGAACACACCAACCAAGTGGCTGAACAGGGCAAGGAAAGGAGCCCGTGTCTCCTGGTGTCCAGGCAAGGCCCTCAGCCCTGTTTTCTTCCTGAGGTGTCTGTCTGTCTGCTCCCCACACTCCCCATTACAACCTGGGACAAGTCACTTAGGATGCAAGTTTCCCAAGTGCCTCTGTTCCAGGGGCAATCAGGACTCGTAGTAGAGACAATATCTTTTATTAGACCAACAAGAGTTTTGCAAAAAAAATTCTTTAATTTTTGCAAAAGTCTTGCTGGTCTAATAAAAGATATCATCTCTACTATGAGTCCTGATTGCCTTTTCCTCTAGACCAATACAGCTACAACCTGGATACTTTGTTCCAATGGGTCACTCAACAGTTTCCCCCAGTATCACCTTGAGCCTCAGTTTCCCCATCTGCACTGTGCGGATCATGGCACTGTTGGGCCTCCCTGGGGAACAGTGAGGAGAAACCTGCTGGAGATGGTGAGGTGCCCAAGGAGGGGTCCCAGCCTCCCCCTCCATCCTGTCTTGGGAGCTTGGTGGGAGCAGAAAGCTCCAGAATCAAAAACTGGGGAAGGGATCTGTGTTGTTCCCTGTGGTGACGTTCGCCAGCTTGGGCACTGGGTGGCACTACAAGGATGCAGGAGTCTCAGCAAAGTGTCATCCTCTGAAGTCCTGTTTCAATGAGGAGCTTTCTTAAATATGGAGCAGTTTCTGTCTCTCATAAATAAACCCCTTAGTCAGTTAAAGGAACGCAGTGATCTAATGCAAAGAGTTTTATTAAATATACAGGGGCCGTAGCATGCCATCAAATTTTAAGCAGAACTCCCTTGTTGGAACAGCCATGGACTTCTGCTGAAGGCTCTGTGCAGCTGTATGGAAGAGATATTGTGGATATTCTTAAAGGGACAACAATCCCTGCCCATGAGTTAGGCACCTGGAGATTGAAGGGTCAAAGAACATGACCAGTTCAGGCTGGATTGCATCTCCCTCGCTCATAATCGGTGTCTCCAAAGGCTGCTGCTGGCATGAGATGCAATTGTGCAGGTCACCACGAGCATCAGAACCAGGCTTTCAACCTCCAGGCCCTGATTTGGCAAAGTAACGAAGCAAGTGCTTCATTTTATGAATGTGTTGAAAGTCCATCGGCTTCGCTAGAAGTCATGCCAAGCCGGGGCTGAGAGTGTCGGAAAGTCCCACTGGATGTTATCTGGGTGGTATGCAGGTTTCTAGCTGAGCGGCAGATGGCTGTACATTCAGTCACTGGTGGTCATGTTGCACACGGCTGGCTAGGCTATGTTATCTCCATCCAGAGCTCTTCCATGTCAGCCAGGAATGTATGGGCCATAGAGACTATGTGCATTCACTGAGCTAGCGAGCTGGCCCAGCATGGGGAAGGATTTCAAATCAATCCAAGGTGATACCAAAGCAGTCTATATCCAGGACACAGATTGCTCTGAAATGGCCACTCGTGACATTTGCTCCGAGAAGAAGTATGTGAATGACAGGGAAGGGTAGATCAAAACACTTTATAGCTATCATTATAGCTGTTGTGGCTAAGCTATTATTTAACTAATAAATAAGCTATTATTTAACGCCCAGTAATGACACTCCTGGCAGGGCACAGTGCTGCGCAAACAGTAGAGAAGGGCTCAGCTGGAGTCACGTCCAGTTTCCTAACTCTTCATCATCCTACCTTTTCCCTTGTTCTGATTCACAGCCACTGACTGGGTCCATTCTCCTACCCCTTCCTGGTCCAGCAGGCTGGTTTCTCAGCTGTTGCCAATTGGCTGAATGCAAAGCTGTTATCTGTGAAGGAGACAGAGCTCTGCTGGTTGAGGTCTGCTGAGGGTTGAGCCCCCGCCTTCAAAGCTGTATCTCCTGATTCATGCTTGTGTAGGTAATGTGTGGGATCATGCCTGCTGCATCTGCTGGCAGGGTGATCTGCTGCTGATGGGGATCATACCTAGAATGGCCACTCCAATGCAGCCTGGTTCCTGGAGCTTGATTCTCATGTCAGGTCCTTGCTCTCCTATGTTGCCCTGCCTTTTCTTCCTGGGTGTGTCGGGTGCTCTGGCAGTAGGTATTCTCTATGCAAAGGCCCTCTGCATTTCTGATCTGCTGCATGCAGTATGGGAACATGTTACCCTCTGAGAGGGCCTCCTCCCTTTCATGGGATCCACTTCAGTGGACCCTTCCCCAGGTCCAAACATCACTGTTTCTCAGCCTGGCTGTTTGCAGCACAGAGCAAATCAAGGCAAAGCCGATCCTGATGATCCTTGCTAATGGGGCTGGCCCCTGCTTCCCCCCCACCCAGGGCTGGGAGTCAGGAAACAGCCTCCTTCGTAGGCTGGAACTGTACTGAGCCTGGCAAAGCCAGCCTTAAGTTTTCAAGGGTGCTAGATTCTCCCAAAGGTGAGGGAGGAAAGATTTGCAGAGATCAACATGGGGGATTTATATGCAGATGTGAGGATTCAGATTTCTTTCCCTCATTATCTCAGGGCCTGGTCCGAAGCCCTTTGAGGTGAAGGGGGATTTTTCCATCAGCTTCAATGCACTTACAGGTGCCTCTGGGTAGGTAGGGATTTCTGTACTGCAGTGACATCTGGAAGCCACCTACTTCGTGTGCTGCTGAATGTGCTGTGGGTGTCTCATTGAGAACTATGGGATGCATCAATCTTGGGAGCTGGAGGGGTGGTGCCCTGAAAGGGTTAAT